TATACAAACATCCATTCCCACCCTCATGCTCTCATATGCACTTACTCCACACTCAACCAACGTGGAGACAGACATAAAGAGACGCTGTACACACGATCACACTCCCCAAGCGTACTCTATTAACCGGGTCTAGGTACCCTTGCCCCTGGAGGGGGGAACTGCACCCAGACCCAGGTGGTGTTACCCTTTTCCCTGCGGTGGGGGGAGGCAGACTGCCCCCATTTTAAAGATTTTTAAAGAAAAACAACCTGTGGGGTCAAAACCCAAGGGTGCATCTAAAGGTTAAGAGCACCGGATAATAAAAACTGGAAGAAGCCACAAAAATTCAGAGTTAATGAACCAAAAGCAAATCCTCAGACAAAGCATGTGATCCAAAAGAGTTTTTACATTTTACAGTTATGTTTTTACTAACTGGTGTGACTGTTACTGTGATCCATACTACACCACAAAGATCATTAAAATTTCCCTGCTATCGAATACACAGAACCTTCTGGATAATCACAAGCAGGTTAATTGTCTAAAGTTTTGCTCTGTCCTTTTTTCTCCTGAGAGAAAAGAGTTTTTTGTTCCTTTTTTTTTTATAAAAAGTGGCAAAGGGGGGCTGATTTACAGCTTCTACATGGTGATGGGCTGAGGGGAGAAGGAGTGGTCTCAAACATGCTGGGCTACAATAAAAGGCACTTGTTTGGACCTCCGAGGAGCCCAAACTTTCCAGTAGCACCACAGGCGGCTGCTGAACAAACGGAAAAAAAGGAGGGGATAGCTGATTAGTAAAAATTGAAAGAGAAGAAAAAGCGCCCAGCTTTCTTTAAATATTTACATTATAGATAAATTACATTTTTAACTTTTTGCAAAAGGAACACTTTTTGCAAAAACTAAAAAGTGAGAGAGAAAATGATGAGGCTGCTGTGCATCACTATAGTCTGCTTGATCCTGGCTGGCAGTGCGTACAGTGAAGAGACGATCTTAACAGGTAAGATTTAAAATGATGTGAAATAGTTTAACATGCCCAAGTGTCTGTATGTATGTGTGATCTTTTATAAATGCATGATGTTGCATCAATCGTGTGCGTGCGGGGGGATGAGCTGTGCAAGAAGTCTGAGCAAAGTGGTACCCCATCAAAAGCTTGTCTTATAACGGTGTCGTTGTAGCAGCAGGTAACAAACACATCTCTGGAGTAACGCTCACACAGACACAGTGTAACTCAGCATTACACTCACTGATGTGCTGCACACAGACCACCCCAGCACGAACAGGCTGGTGAATAAATTACCCTTGCCATTCATAGGGGCTTCCTACCCACTCTGCTGAATGAGTAATACCACTGGTTGTCCTCCTAAAATAGGTCACAAGTGCTGCAGTGGATTAAATTGGGCTGGTAGTGCTTGTCCCCCTTTTTGTGGATGTAAATGCGGACTTTAATGTGATTTATGGTGTTGATTTTTTTTTTTACTTTCTGACACTATTTGTTCCAGACACAAAATGAAAACTTAGAGAAATCTTTCCAAGGAGCCCCTGCACTCCATCATAATGCTGTTGTAATTTCAAATTCACAGCTGCCTACAGAATGACACCATGAGATGAAGCTGCTCCCAATAAAACACAGCTAGATCTAGTGCTGCAGAGAAAGAAAAAAGGGAATTGCTGGCCTCATGTTATATGTATTGACTGATATTTAATGTGCTTTCAGCAGCTCTGCAAGCTGACTCAGTATGTCAAATTAGGAACGTCTCAGCTGTCTCTCTTCCAGGAGCAGAGGAAACGGCTTATTTGTTGGGACAAGAATTTCATTCTATGAGGAGAGCTTGTATTTTTTTGTCATTCAAACATTTAAACATTTGCGGGTGATGTCATCACAAGTGTGTGTTTATGTGTTCATTTATATGATGTCATTGCCTGAATTATGTAAAAGCATTTGCTCAGCCCAGGCCAGCTGCGTTGTTCCGTACAGTATATTTTTTTGGCCACATGAGCTGTGTATTCTCCCTCAGTTCGAGGGGCGTTGCCTGTCCTTATACCTACTGACTCACTCTGCCACTGGGAGCTTTTGGAAATCAGCCCATGGTAGCAGGCAGCCTGACAGGAGCGGAGTTAAGATTAATGACCCACAGCCAAATGTATAGAGCCCCATGCTGAACAGCGGCCAAATGACTCTGTCTTTTCCTGTGAAGTAATAGTCTGTTAAGTCTAATGCTTACTGTGGTTGTTGGTTACTGAAGCCTGGCCTGGTTGCTACTGTGGTAGAGTGGGGAAAGGGGCTTGGCTGCAAATGAGGCCTGGGGTGAGGAGAAGATGTGTTTAGGGTAGGAGATGAGATGTTCGCAGAGGCACGTTTTTGGTGGTATTGATCCTGTATTATTAAGCTCAACAGATATTTAACAAATCACTCTGATGGAAATCTATGGTGCGCTTGTACCGAGGATGTGCACACACACGTTTTTTGTGTTTGCACTTGTTTTGCATGACAGAATACAGGAAAGAGCTTATTGGCATACGTGTGTAGGAGTTGGCCTGCTGTGTTTATCCCAGCTGCACTTGTTAATTCTTTCTCCATATTGACACAAGTGGGCCAGCAACAGAAGAGAGCGACACTTTGGGATGTTGTAAAGCATTGCTCGCTCTGCTAGAGGGTGTGGCATTTTGTGCACAAGGAGATATAAACATGCAGACTGTTGCTCTGCAGAGTTTCATCCTTTCAAAGAGATTTTTAATGTTGATTGTTTAGTAACTTCATGCAGGAAAGGCTCAGGGGTTACACAGTATACAGTATAGTAAGAGCATAACATGATGCATGGGGCACAGAGTGGACCTGGATCACTGTAAAGATCATTTCCACTTCAGTGTTGCAAAGAAGCAGATGGTTCCAATCACTTGCTAAAACCACCTTTTACACAGTGAGACTGAACTGTGCTTGGTAATAAAATGGCAGTAGGTCTTGGCTGCAGCTGCTAAGCTTCTTTTTATTGCCCTACACATGTGTTCATTTATGTTTTGGGGTTTTTGGGGGTTTTTTTGTTTTGTTTTTTTGTCAACTGCTGCACAGTTGACGAAAGTGTCAGTCATAATGGTTCCCTATTATTTGACCACCAATAATTATGACAATTTGGAACCACCTTGGGCCTCAGAGGGTTGCAGACGGTTGGAGAATGGCAAAGAAAAGAAAGGCTTCCCTCTCTTCCCAGAAGGATTACTACCCGCAGTAGGCTGTTGCTTTATATGTGCAGCATGTCTCGCATGGCCAGGGCCACAGTCTCCTTTGGGATGTCTGTCTAGTGGTAACTGCAGGAGCAGGAGAAATTCAGGAGTTGCTTTAACATGCATCTGTCTCTCTGGGATTGTAACTGTCAAGGGTGTAGAACAAATAAAAAGACAAATTTATTTACTGTGCCTTCGTTTAACATCATCCCAAGCAGTTCATACTTCAGCATTCACTGAATTGGCTCCGTCCTCCTCAGGGTTACAGCTCACACAGAGGCTCTTGATTTAACATTCGAACAGTGTTCTCACGAGACACTACAATGAAGCCCTTTACTCTGTTTTCTAATAATTTCAGACATCACTGTTGGCTGTAATTACATCTGGTGAGTCTGTGTTGATGTCAGCACTGCCCTTACCTCTGCCAGTTCAGTCATCCTGGATGCCTCAGGTTTCAATTCTACTTTATGCACAGCGTTACCCATGCAGAGTGTTTACGAGGCACAGCGAAGCTGTGAGTCATTTCTCTCTGACAAAACGGGCAAAGACGACTCTTGTCCAGACACTGGCAATTAGCAGCGGCAGAAGTGTTTTTCCCAGCTCATAAAATACCTGGCGTCTCGGTGACCACTCAAGAGGCAAGTGAGGCAATGGGTGTGGTGATTTGGTAATAGAGGTAGTCACTGGCATGTGCAGCCTCATGAAAGAAATGAGAACATAGAGTTTAGAGTGGCATAAGGTGAGACTGACGGGTAGATTAGGTCTGTCAGCACTGCCTTTGCTAATTAATTCTAATGATCTGAGAACCACTGAACGAACTCCAGACACACTTCTACTGTGTGAACCGGGACAGTTTCGGCAGGCGTTTGACGAGAGGTTCATTCAGTGTCACTCCACTGTGAGTGTGTGTGTTCTGAGGGAAGGTTGTGGTTTGAGCAGAGTCAAAGCCACTGTCTACTTTTATTTCCTGTAATAGCCATGTGGGAAATGTTTCCCGCTGAAGAGCCAGCGACACAGTATTCCAGTCATGCTCAGGTGTGGCTGCTCAAAGTGAAAGGCCTTCAACATGAAAGCTGCATCCTCAGTCAGAAATCAGAAGCTGACTGCAGACTTACATGCAGATCGTCCATACTGAGTGAGTGAGAAAAGACACAGAGTAGCGCCTATACTTTTTAATGAGTACCCGAAACTTAAAGAACAAGACGGGTTATTTATGAATATAATAAAAAAGTCTTCTGCGGTGCTTCTTGCCTTACCTCACTTATGTTTACACGTTAGATTGTTAAAAGGTTAAACTGCGGCATGTTTATAGGTTGAGGATAGGGGCAGGGGGTGTCAGCGGTGCTGTCTACATGCATTTATCTAGTGCTTGTTATTGTCTGGCACAGACAGCCCCCACTCTCTTTCCTGGCTGGGGTCTTAACTAAGCAAGCCCTGTGAGGTCTAAAGATAGAGGATGGGAACCGGTGGTGAGACACAGATGACCTGTCATTTTGAGTTAAAGGCTGACCTAGCTTGGACAGGAAAGATAGAGAGGGAGTGCACAGAGGAAATAAGTAAAAGAAATAATGATGACAGCTAGATTCTGTATTTTGTCAACAATATTTTCTGCTCTCTTTTTCCATTATTTATGTGCCTGACACACTTAACACAAATCAGATGTAGTGGATGAAAGAAAAGCACTTCATTTTGTAGGTTAATGCTGAGGAACCAACGGCTTATAAGTGCAAGTACTGACAACAGCAGGAAGGAGACTGAAAAAGGATTATTGGCTTTCAGGGCTGAGGACTGGCCGGTGCCCAATATTACATTTAATAAACCAAACAGACTCCAGACTCTTCACTGGCTTTGTGTGATGTAATGCTTCAGATGTCACACTGTGTATTGTATATTACAATAATACAAACATTATGGACATGCCAAAATACGTAGCTGTTTCATTAACAAGGCAAACAAAAAAAAGGCAACAAGGAGAAGTTTAAAAAAGTGTTTCTACAATTTTTTTCCCCCTTTTTTGCATTGAAAATCATTACATAAAAATGTTATACAAAGGGTTTTTTGTTTTGGTTTTTTTTATCCAAGTATCATAATTCTAAACAAGAGCAGAAAGGTTATATCATATTTCTTCTTTTCTAGTCAAGGTTTCTGCTGAACTAGGTGGCAACATCACCCTGCCTTGCAGGATCTTGTCCTCAGACACGGTGTCCTTTGGCAACAACGGACACCGGATAAAATGGACAAAGGTGGAAGATGATGAAGCTCTGAACGAGGATGTGCTGGTTAAAATGGGACCACACATAAGGGCCTATGAGAGCTTTGAGGGCCGTGTCTTCTTGCAGAACCTCGACAGTGAAGATGCCTCTTTAATAATGACTGAAGTCTCCATGGACGACAAGGGAAAATATCACTGTGACATCGATAACGGGATTGAAGATTCACTGCAAGAGGTTATCTTGGAGGTGCATGCTGGTCTGATGACTGGTAAATCCTGTTTTATTTTGTTTTGTTATTTTGTTTTGTTACTATTTCCATACTTACACTTTTTTGAAATTCATTTAATAATATATTCAATTTCATAAAAATAAAAAAATGGTATACGCTTGTTACCATGCAACATCACGAACGTATCCCCCCCTGAACGGGATTGTACTATATACATATATATGTATATTCAAGAGAGAAAAAACAAGAGAGACAACACTTGCTTTCTTCCTCATATTTTCATCTGATCTACTTCGTTCAGGTGTCGTGTTCCCATACTACCCTCCTTTGGGCCGATACAACCTGAACTTCAACAATGCCGTGCAAGCCTGTGAGGACCAGGAAGCTGTGATTGCCTCACATGAACAGCTGCTTGCTGCGTGGAAAGGCGGTTTGGATTGGTGCAACGCTGGATGGTTAAGTGACGGCACAGTGCAGTATCCTATCACCAAACCCAGACATCCTTGTGGTGGCTCCAACAATGAGCCTGGCCTCAGAACCTATGGACGCCAAGAGAAGATTAGGCAATTTGATGTGTTCTGCTATACTACTGCACTCAAAGGTCAGTTAATAAAAATGTCTTTGTACATGAAACGCAGTGACCACAAAGACTAGTACATTTATATAGTAGCACATCTGCTTGAATTATTCTGTCTTGTTTGCCTTATCTGCTGTCAGGTCATTTCTATTGGCTGGTCCAGCCTGAAAGGCTGACCTTCGATGAGGCTGTGGAGGCATGCAGAGATGATGGTGCAGAGATTGCCAAGGTGGGCCACATGTTTGCTGCCTGGAAGCTTGAAGGCTATGATCGCTGTGATTCCGGCTGGCTGGCTGATGGAAGTGTCCGGTACCCCATCTCCAGGCCGCGGAAGAACTGCAGCCCCACAGAAGAAGCAGTGCGCTTTGTTGGGTTTCCCGACAAGACAGTGAAGTCTTATGGCGTGTATTGCTTCAAGCCTGATCAGTGATGGGTTAGATAGGTCTAAATAAGCCATGACCACCAAAGAGCAGCAAAAGCCACAACCAGTAAAATAAACAATGAAGCAGATAAGCTTTTGATCTAATCTAGCATGAACCCAGTACCTTTCTAAAGCTGTGATAACCCTAAAAATACATATATATACATACATGCATACATCTTATACCCTCCTAAGAATTAAAAAAATGACCTGTAGCTATTATGTTTTGCATTTTCCTATAGGTGGCTTTCATTGGTTTTACACAGAGTATTAAGTAAAGGTCTATTTTGTCAAAATGTGACTGATGAAACAGAGACAGAGAAGTAAATGGTTAGCATAATCTGACTACAGTTTGTGTCCTGCAAAACATGATTGGATTTGTGAAGTTCCAAATGTAGTGCAAATATGCACACGTGCAGTTGACATGTGCTGCTTTAAAGTCTGCAAGAACAGAAAAGCGTGACATTTTATTTTTATCGAGTTCGGCATTTGGGAATTACGTTAAATTTATTACAAACTGCTATGGGTACTTGTTACCCTGCACAAAGTGATCATTTGCATGTTGTTTGCTTTTAGCTTCTGAAACTGAAAAATTAAAAAAAAGCTTTTCAGACAGAATAGTTGTGATCAAAATATTTGCAAAGAAAATGAAGGTAAACGTTTTGGTCTACAACTCTTTTTGCTGTGAAAGCTTCAATTACCACAATTTCCAGTTACAGTCGGAAAGACCACTATAATCTAATGCAATGTATTCTTTTGTCCTAACAAAAGGTTTTTACTTTTTAATGATGGGTTACTGATAGTTTTTTGTTGTTTGTTTGTTTGTTTTTTTACATGTGCATAATGTGCTTTTCAAGAAAAACTACAGATTAAGTTTCTAACACTAGTAGGATTTTAGCGGAGAAGTTAAACTGAAGATGTGATTTGTCCCAACACACGAGTGGCATTTCCTAGAAGAAATCTAATGTTACAGCAGTTAATATATGACTATTAAATGTTTGGTTGCACATGACCACTGATGGAGTTGCACATCTTCATATTGTGGCTATGAGCTGCAAAATTTCAATTCGTATTTTGATGATCAATCACACTCACAGATGGTAATTAGAGGTGCAACAAAACTTTTCTAGAGATACAGAGATATGGCACTCACTGTAGAACACATGCAATAATGTGGTGATGCATTGTTTGTAATAATAAAACTCAAGTTGTCAAGGAAAAAACATTTTGTATCTTAGCACCTTGTACCTTTTCAAATGAAGCTGTTTGAAATAAAGAACACAACTCTTAAATCCATTTTCAATCATATATTCCTTTTTTAAAAATTGCATTCCTTCTTATTTTACTGGAGCAAAATCATGCAGCATGTGGAGATGTTGAAGTTTAAGCAGGGACCTAAATGGGATTGTTTAAGTTGCCAAATTGGAGGCCATGAATTTGGCGTAAAGCCATGTCAACTGAAAGGACTTAAGATTAGACTCTCCCCACATTCATTTATTCTTTGCCATTTTTATCTTCAGTGCCAGGCTGCCAACCCACCACTAAGTCAGACAAAGGGAACAGTAGCACAGTCTTTAAGAGGCTTGTGGGAATCTCTGGGAACAGGGTCAGATTTAGGTGGATACAGCAGGGAAATGCTAGACAAATGTAAATGTGTGCGATCCATCTTAGGTAACTTTTTTTGGATAATGCAGCTAAAAGCAACAGCAGATATTTTTGAGGAATAAACTGTGTACATAAACTATAGATTTTTGCACTTGTATTATACAAAAGACTATATGCATGTATTTAAACAGCTGGCATCAAGTGAGCTGTTCTTTGGGCCTCTGTGTGTTTAGGCAGACAGTCAAATCAATGAGCAGTCTGTTGACTTCAACCAGTCCAGTGCAGTGCACTAGTCTAGCTACATCCCAGATGCTTGACAGAATTCCAGATATGCATGTATGGAAAATAAAAAAAAACCCAAACATTATGGCATTAAGTGAATGGTACACTTTATTCTAAGGTGCCTGCTAAGCTGAAGAAGTCAGTAAGAGCTTGGGAGCATTTCATTTCCAAAATAAATCTAGAACTTCTGTTAAATCCCAGTGAAACTCAGGCCTAGGGGTTTTTGAGACATCTGCACTTCGTGAGGCAGGATTTCAGGTCTGACTCGATGCGGAGCATCCAGGAGCAGCCATTAATCACAAGTCACGTCTCCTCTAACGACAGAGTTGGCACTCACAGAGAAAAACGCAGCTTAGCTTGCACACAGATTACAATGACCAACCTGATGTTGTTACTCAGGTAATGGTGCTTTGTGTTATTAGTAAGTAACAATGTGAACTCCAAGTGACTGCTGCATAAACAGGCACTGTGGGAGTAGTAGTGAAAGGTAATGTAGTCAAAAAGCTTCTGATTTTCCACACAGGGAATTCATGTGGATCCTTTATGCACCAGCATGTAGACTCAAGATGTTTTTCAAGAAGACCACTTTTACTCATGCTATTCACTAAAAAGAAAAGAGAAAAGCAGTGGGGTATCCTTATGCAGGTTCACAGTACTGAAGCATCAGCCTTTTCTGCATGGCATCACTTTTCCCTAATCCAGTTTTAGTTTGCTACAATTCACATTCACATTGCCACTTCCTATCTTCTCCCCTGGATGTACCAACTGTCTACCAACGGGTTTGCAGAGCATGTCTGATAGGTTTTTCTACAAGTGTGTGATGTATGTTTAAGACACCGCAATACTTTGAAAAATTGGATACTGGTATGATTTTCCACACAGTGCGATTCACATGAAGTTTAAATTCATCATTATATGCTTAGTGTCCATGAGTTGTGTGGGTGCTAAAAAAAATGAAACGTGATAGCAGAAAAAATCTTCGGTTCATGAGTAAGGCTGATAGCACTACCTGCTGGGGAAATCACTGTAGTGCACACTGCATCCTAAATTAGCTTTAGTGCAAGAAGACCCATGTTTTAAAATTTGTTCAACTTCATTACCTGGCTTCTGCAATTTTGCTGCACATTTCCTTTATAATAAAAACTCTGGTCAACAAATTAAATTTTGTAAGTAAATAATCTTTATTTTATTTCATTGGTGATTTAAAGCAGGAAAAACAACAGTTAAAAAACAGGTTTTTTTTTAAATTCACAAACGTACCAACCATTCACATTGTAAAGTAATCTTTAAAAAAAGAAACACTTATAAATATAAAATCATATTATGTGCACATCAAGGCTAAAACACACAGACAAATACTCAGACAACAAAACAACATTTCTCCTTAAAAAAAAATTCACGTCTGTTAATGTTACAGAACAAAATCGATGCAGATTATTGCTGATGTGTGTCTCTGAGTTCTTTGGTCCACTGTTGCCATTAAAGTTGAAAAAAACAAAAAACAAAGAAGAAGAAAGAAAAAGAAGAAGGCATGTAAATGGATCATATTGCTGAGTAATTACTTTTAGATTGTTAGCATGCAAATGTTGCCGGCGTCCTGGTGAACAAACAATAAAAACATTTAAAAAGAATCCCCGTGAGGCCCAAGTGACAGAATCATATTTCATCAGTAAAACAAGTAAAGCAATCAAGAGCAGCTTGAAAATAAATTATACGCATCTCTGCCTAAACAGCTGTTACGTTCAAGTCTTTCTGAGTGATTCACAAAATACATTCTCTCAATGACTGATCTTAATTGACCACAATAACAGAAACAAATTTTTTAGAAATCATACCAAAAGAGAAAAAAAAAGACTTACATATAAGCTACCCCACAACAGATGACAGCAAGAGTCTTTGGTGTGTGATTATGCACAGCATTAGTTATATAAGTTATTGTAAACATGCTGTTGTGACTAATTAAAGGCTATGCAATGAACATATTTGAGCAGAAAATAGAGGCTTCTTGAGCTACACTTTCCTTATGAAGTAGACGATAGTCATCAATTTCCATCTGTTGATAAAGGCTTTGTCGATAGGCACTTAGAGAGCAATCTTTCATATTGAACTGTCTCCTACAAAAGAAAATGTCAGTTACATTTTTTAAAATCTATCTATAGAAATCTATTTATAAACATTAACGTCTGACATATATCTGATGACAGCAGGAGAGAATGAAAGGTGATAATTTGATACTAAAAGCTGCCGTCACAAAGAAGCTGATAACCAAGCAATCAGTGAAAAACTTTCCCCAGACTTGTGATATTTTAATCTAGAATGTGAATAACTACTATACAGGAAACCTGTCAAACCATGTCAGGGTATAATTTGCCCCTTTATAGAATGAGCTATAAATTCTGGGAAAAGATCTGTATGTAAGAAAGTTTATAGCTCTTTGTATGCAACATAATGTTTAACTCATGCGATATGAGTTCTTTGCAAGCGCAATAAAAAGGAAGCCCAAATTAAAACAGCACAATATTAATGTTTACATGAGCAGTATAATCTCTTTCTTTCTATTAGAAAATGAACACTTGCATAGATTTTAAATAGCCCAGTTGATTTTAAAATTGACTAGACAACCATCATGAAAAAGGGTGATTTTAGTGTTT